TTTCCGTAATAAATACAACAAAAAAAAAACGACTGCTGAGTGGAAGATAGACTTATCTCGGCAGTCAGCTCGAATATGCTCTATCTCAAAAAACTTTTCAAGAACGCCCTATTTCAGAATTCGTTTCAAAAACGCCCTATCTCAGATGCCGATTCAAAAATGCCCTATATCAGCACATTTTCAATACATTTTGAAGTGATTGGGCGTTCTTCAACCAAATTCTGAGGGTGCTTTTCAATAAAATTCTGAAATAGGGCGTTCTTGAAAAGTTTTTTGAGATAGGGCGTTTTTGAGCTGGCTGCCGAGATAGATCGATCTTCCACTCAGCTGTCGAAATAGGATGAGATTGGAAAGCCGGATTGTGCGATTAATCAATTAATATGAGTTATAATAAATTTAATAATTGCGCAGTCCTATTGCAAAATGTGTTGAAACTAGGGCTGTACTATTATTCGATTACTCGATCAAGTTGGTTAATCAGTTATTCGGTTAATCAATTACTCGAATAATCAAAATTTTGATTACCCAAAACGATGATTAATCGAGTTACTTGAAATATAATTACTCAAAAAAATTAATTTTGCTCGTTAAAAGAGTTTGCTTTGGAAAAGGCTTATTTTCTTTTTTACACTCTGAGCGTGTGTGAATCGGTAACAAAGTTCGCGGCGAGTAAATTTTTGACAACTATGAGGTGAATAAAATTTCACTAGCTCATGGGGCTAGGGAAATTTTTGACAAATGTATAGAAAATTTTGACAAACGCAAAAATTGTTGATGTGTGTAATATTTCGTTAAATAAAAGCTTAAATTGATAAATTGCAATCAACGATGGTAGATGTTTTCTCAAAATATTAATTTCACTTCAATTTGTAATATTTTATTCCGCATAAATCTGCGGTTATCAAAAATTTACTGCTGTCAAAAAATATTTAATTTCACACAGCAGATTGGCAAAACTGTCTCACCATAGTGAGACAGAACCCCATAGAACTTTGTTACCGATTCACACACGCCCCCTGTATATGAAAAAAAAAAAATAATTTTAATTTTTGAAAGCAGAAACGTTGTTTTCAAAGTATCAAGGAACTTCAACTACTTTATATGTAAAGAGTACTTTGAAATGCTGATTATTCATTTTACTCATAATGTTGATTAATCATAAAGCAAATTACTCAAATATTTTTGTTTTTGGTTAATCAAAATCTTGATTACTCGAGTAACTGAACTTTTGAGTAATCATAATTTCCAATTAATCGAATAATTGACTTATTTACTTTATGATTAATTAAAATTATGAATAATCAATTAATCGCACAGCCCTAATAACACATCTCGAAATTTAAATTTATTTTAATAAATTTTATTAAAAATTTTCAGCCATGCTTCGATTCAAAGCTCCTGGAAAAAACACTCTCACGCAACTCCAAAGTCAAGGAGGACAAGAAAATGCTAATAAATGGCATGGAAGATGAACTTTATTAGTTAAGCATTAAATAGCGTGCCATCAAAGCGAGGCGCTTGCGATGCGGATACAGTACGCGCGGTCAGGGACTGGCATACTTCTTCTGCGCGCAACAAACGGAGAACATCTACAAGAGGCCTTATAGAACGAAATTTCCAGAAATAAAAAACACACAAAAAGCAAAAGAGCATGCAAATGTAGAAACGACAACACGATGGAGAAGAGGAAATGCCAATGAGAGATTCAAAGTACGACGTTGAGTAAGAAGAAAATAGAGAGAAGAGTGTCTGACGCCACGGACAAATGTAGTTAGTACAAGTTCCTCGTCCGTAGCAGCAGGCTGCAGAAGTGCAACCATGGATAAGCTTTAAATAGAGTACACTCGTCAAAAAAAAAAGTCACAACTACTTAGTTCAATTCATGTACTTATTTTTGTTTTATTTGCATTGACACCATTGTCTTAATTTTTATGTACTTACGTATGTTCATTAAATAGTAATTTCATATACATATACTATGTACATACGAATATCGTACATTTATCTAATAATTTTGAATTACTTCTCTATATTATTAAAGGTACGATATGTACATATGTATATTTTTTTCAATTTTAGCGCAAACTATTAATTGCTAACTAAAGAAAATCCTTTTAGTTGAATTTTAACATATGAATTATTTATTACTACTAAATTCGCATATAATTTTAATTTGCAGTTTTAAGAATTGATTGTATGAAAAGTGAAAATCAATTAAGGCTGTATAAACACTTTGAAAAAGTGTTGCGTAAAGTTGTGAATTTAAATTTTGTTACTTAAATAATAAAAAGAATTTGCACTAATACCAAAAACTGCAGCCAATCGTATTAAATGCAGAAATAAATATGTACGTCTTTTTTTTCTTCGAACAAAAATGGGAGCGTTGAAAAAGGTTGGTTCTCTTCAACACAGGTTTTCAGCATTTTGAGTTCCTATATATGGGTCATTTCCAAACAAAATGCAATTATTTTGTGTGTGTTTAAGTGACTTTATCATTGCACCATGGTAAGTACGGCCGGCTAAATAAGTATTTCCGGAACATCACCCATATTTATGCGTAAAAACACTAAAAAAGGAAAGCGGCAATCAAAAGGCGACATTTTTTGGTAGAAGCGAAAACACCATAAGACAATTACCACTAGTCTGTTTATTGCTTAATGAGTTTCAATGATTTCCTTGTTTTTATATTTTCGT